CCATTTTAGTACGCTCTTCCTTTGCAGGTTATTATCTTCGTTATTTGTTATACTAATATATGATCTATTATAATTTTTAAAACTCCCCTGTCTATGACACTTAGCAAATAAAGGTAGCCACTAGTCTACTTTGGACTTAAAATCTTAGTAGCTTTGTTTTTGTTCACCACACAAAAGGTCTCATGTCAATGGAGACTTTATGTGTTTTATAAACCGATGTTTCTCCTGCTTTTCTAATAATGTGGGACTTTGTAACCCAACAGCCACTGTTACTTTCCCTAATTTTTTTTATTAAAGTATAAAATGGGTAGCTAGATAGGTTGATCATACAAATGTAATAAGAATTTTGAAGTAGCTTCCAATGATCAATTAGTTATATTTTGTCTTTAGCCTTAAAAAATGACCAATTGGAGAAGAAAGTGCTAAAAATAGTCATACTATTTTGATATCAGATATCAGACAACAGATATAAAGTCATAACTCATGAATAATATTTCTAATATTTTATTGAAACAACTTATAAAAATGCCATACAAACCCTTAATTAGGCTAAAACATAAAAAATAAAAAAGTTCCTATCATTTTTCCATTTCATTATTTGCTTATACAAACAGAAAACCATAGAAAACCTAAGGACCTATGGCTATTAGTACCCTACCTTAGTACGTTAACTTACCTAAGAATTCAAAGATAGTAAAAACAAAAAATGTCATCTCCAAAGGGAAGTACCTGGAGAAGAAGGTAGCTCTGGCCATCAGCAGAATTCTTAATGACTTTGAAGGTCTGGCCATAGTAAATATGAAAGTTCGCAGCATCTTCCACCTTTGAAAAGTTACCAACTTTCACTGCTGGGGTGGCTCCATGCACATATCCACAGTTAAAGAACCAAAACAATGCCAAGAACAAGAAGGCTTGAAGCCAAGAACAAGAAGGAGCTGAATCCATGAGCTGAACTAGGCACTTCTTAGTTCTTAGTATGTAAAAATAATGTGATCATTGGAGCTAATTATATGTAGCATGTTTGCTCATTATTTATATTTAAGGCCACTTTTAGAAGGAAAAAGCTATTTAACTTTTTGGGCAATAATCTGCAGCTAAACTGCACAATTATGAGAGAGGAAGTGGTGAACTGTGCAGCATTTTCAAGATAAATGGATTGGAACAGTGTTGAAAATTTCTGCTTAAATGAAGGTGTGAATGAATATTTTTGGCATGTAGCAAGTGGGGTGAAGACTTTATTATATTTAACAAGAAGAGGTAACAGTAAGTGACCCGTGAACCCATCTTTGGGTTATTTTTGTCATCTTTTTTTCATCATACTTTGTTGTGGGTTCCTATTACTAGTTACATCTTTTTCTTTTGTCACTTTCTATGATGCTCTCATGAATGTGAGTGTAACACTGGTAATCAACCAAACATGTGCTGTGCACTCATCTTTGTTCAACCACTACCCATCTCATCTACACGTTCAAAAATCAGAATCATTCATTCCCAACTTGCAGTTTACCCAGAAACTCAACCAAAAATATAATCACACCACCGTCACTTTTCTAAATTCTAATTTAATTTTTCTCAATCAACCACTTGTATGAAGTTTGTTACTTTTTGAAGTTTTTAACCTGAAAAACATGGGCATGTAAAAAAGTTGTCATATCATATGACTTGTTCAGGAAAAAAAATATTTTTAAAAAAAGTAGTTATCTTGTGACATCTTTACATGCATTGATAAAATATAATTTCAAAATGGCTGTAAAATAATAATTTTTTCAATGACGTTTTTTCACCCAGCGAACAATTTTTTTGTTTTTACTATTATTGTAAAAATTATAATATCAATAATAAAACTTTAAGTTAGGACCTTATGCAACAAATTTTCACCTAAGAAGTGTTAGTAACATACTTTTTAACACACTCATCTTAATATACTTATTATTATTAGTTAAAATTTATTGAAAATTATAAAATTAGAAGAGAACCATTAAATAAAAAGTGAGATTCGTCAAATTTTGTATTTTTTTTATAAATTTCAATCAATTAGAGAGGAAGTGTTTAAAAGAGTATGTTACCTTAACATAGCAGTAGTAATTAAACTCCCACCCATATGTACTCATCCAATCCCAACCCAATTTTGAGGAAAAAAAACTAGTTTTGCTAGAGTTTGGGTATGGGCTTTTCTCGACTTAAAAAAATCAGGTTTAGATGCGAATAAATAGGGATTTAGATATATAAGTTTTCATCTCATCCTCCTAATTTTTGTTTTACATTTTCTTGTTCCAACAAATATATATATATATATATATATATATATATATATAAATATATGA